CTTGTTTTTATTGTTCAATTGATATATTTTTCTATTTGTGAAAATTGTTTGGGCATCTTTAGTTGGGATGGGGTGCAACATAATTGTTACCGCTAAAATTAATGGAAATATATTTTTTACCTAATGACTTTTCACTTAGTGGTGGCATTTTCAGGAATGAATTAAATCTGTTAAGTGAAGGATAGCTTTACTCGTGGCACTTGGTACACTGTGGGCACTCAAAAAATAAATGTTAAATGAATGCTAAGTGAATGAATTAATTAATACAAAGGCCCATGTGCATCTTTACAGCAGGATTTCCAAGAGCTGCGTGGCCCTGTTACTGTGTTTCATCTTTACCATCTTGTCATATAGACAGATGTTATGTTCACACCTACCCATTATGAACGCTGCTTTGAATTTCTGATGATACTCAATCACCACGTCACAGTGCAGTAAGCATTCCTTTCCTTCATCAATATCTGATTCTCCTCTACTTCTGGGTATGAAGTAGATTGCCCTTCTCCATTTCTTTGAAGTTAGGTATGTCTGTGTCACTTCCTTTGAAAAATGAAATGTGGATATATGACCAGAACAATGAGGAAGCATTTATCGATGGGGTCAGCTCTTCATATCTCTCTTCTTCTGCCTCATTGTTCATGGAATTACATGTTGATACAGAGGTGGCATAAGATCCAAGCAACTTGGAACACTAAGCCAAAACATGGAAGATAACTGTCCTGGAAAGTTACTTGTGCTGCAGCGGACTTTGCAAGAGCAACAAATAAAGTGGTATTTAGACAATGAGATTTGAGGGTTATTTGATACTGAAGCATACTCTAGCCTATTTTATTTATTATTTTGATATGCACATGGAATATAATGGAGACTCAGGTAAATTAATAAAGTACATTTCATAATTATAGATTGTTTTCACCAGTTAGATCTAAAGACAACATTGTTTAAGAACTTGGCCTTATGTTTATACATAAATATTTGTCTTAGTATTCTATGTGTGGTTCTATAAGCAAGAATCCTAAAAGCTTAGATGAACCCTTAGAGTTGTGTGGCTCAGAGCCTCCTTTTACAATGGTAAAACGGCTCCAGAGAGTGGGGAATGGCTTGCTCAATATTGCATAGGTGGTTAATCATAGACGCATAAGTAGGGTTTAAGGTCTCCTATCTATACATTCAGTGTTATTTCTGCCACATTTAACTATATATCATATTCTTGGCAGCTCTTTCATCCACAAGCCATAGCAAGGAAATTCTCACCAGTACCGACTCTATTGGATTGAAGTTAAACATTGAATTTTAATGTCTGTTAAATGTTCCATTGGAAGAGTAGACATGATTAGCCATTAATACTCATTCAAATTATTCGAACCATCCAGTAATAGTAAGATACAGAGCTCAAGGGCTGAAATAAGAATTAGATACATTTGATAAAGGGGAAGCTCGATAAGCATAAAATGGTCCAGAGAATAGGAAGAATTGACCTGTGAGGGAGTCTCCTGCAGAGTCACGGGGCAACTAAGGACCCTGGGGCCTAAGTCATGCAGAAATAAAGTGGGGGAGGAGCAGGACACTCCACTGAAAGCCTAAGTCTCGTGGTTAATTCCAAGCTTTGATAAAGATTAAATTACTTATAATTAACTAAATAAATTCACTATGATGAATTATTACAAATTTGGAATGAATTCCATATCTTCTTTTTATTGTTACCTATTCTCTGAATCAGCTTTTCTTTGAGCACATGAATTCCACTCCCCAACCTGCATTAACATCATAGTTTCATTACAGATGCTTGCAGTGGTTGTCAGGGGACAAGGGGTAGGATTTCTGAAAGACACGTGATTTCATTTACCTATATTTTTCTGTGAGTTTTAAAAAATATTCCATTATCTTGCCAACTAGAGCCGTTTTTGACATGAAATTTGAGTGACACTAAATATATGAAAACCATGAATAATTTTTTCCTAGCCTATTTTATATTTAGTTATAAATTCTCCACATATTTTGTTTGAGACTAAAGAGCCATCAGTCATGAGGAAATCTTAGCATATAGCCCATTACAATGGGGCAGATTATAATGAAAATTTAGAGAACAATATCTGTTGAAGAATAAAATGCGTGAAAACTGTATATTAGTACATCGTCTTGCTCCAACATTATTTAAGTCTAAAAACATTTGAAAAGAGAGCTATTTGCTGTTTCCTTTATGCCCCTGAAGATGGCACTGATGACATTAAGACTTTCTTAGCTTGTGCACTGTACCTGCAAGGGTTAATCTGTGAGATCTGGTCATACCAGGGGACATTCTCGTATTCTCAAGGTGTGAGCTGCAAGAAGGGAGTGGAATTTGTAGAAACTGGTCTGATCTGGATTATCTGTCTCTCCATCGTGCCAGCTCCCATAGTTTTAATTAAACTCGGTGTATAGTAATCTCTTATACTTAATAAAGCAGTTATTGCATTTCTGATTTCCTTCCAAACATTTATAAACTTCTCCAGGCTCTATTTCAGCAACAATAATGCTGTCGTAGGAGTTTTGAGAATAGCCAGCGAAATAGAGTAAGCCAATGAAATGGAAAGGAGGTAAACAGAAGAAATGACCATTTGACACTAAGCTATGTGGCATTTCATTTAAACAATAGTGGGGTACCAGTAAGTTTGACTAATGTTGTATATGCTGGAAACAGATCAGACTAAATTACTACATTCCACAGAAGTGTGGTGCTCTAATAAATTGAAGACTTTGCCATTGGATGAGGTCAAGGTATGAAGCGTGACTCTAAGCACTGCCATTGTGACTTTATGAATATCACTTACTCTCTTGGAATCCTGCTTTTTCAGTTGTAAAACAAGAATAATAACATCTACATGAGTGGACATGTGTGCAGAAGCTAGGAAATGGAGTACACCCTCAATAATCTCTAGTTAATGTCCCTACCCAAATTTGTCTAATAATTCTGCCAACCATTTTTACCCTTCTTTAAGTATCTCATGGATACATGAAAGCCAGGCACATTTTTCTTTACATAACATATAATATAATATTTTGAAAATCTTGAAGAGAACAGTGCTTGAAATCCTAGCAAAATTTAGATATGGCACAGTGGAATGTATCTAAAAGTTCTATCACAACTGCTTTTTTCTTTTAAAATGTAATGATAAACTTTAGAAAACACAGGGGACATTTGCCAAGGAATGATCTATAAGTCACCACAGATTGTTGACGCTGCTTAGCACAGTCTCTGGCACAAACTTGGTATTCAATAAGTGCTTGTGGAATACGAAATGTAGTTATTTAGTAATCATTTCTTATTTTGTTTAACACATTTAGGTGAAGAAACTAAGAGTGAGAGAAACTAAGAAGCTGGCCCAAAGTTCCCCAGCTTGTTGGTGTTTGGGCTGGAATTAGCACCCAGTGTCATGCTCCTTGGTTAACAGTCAACAATGAGCCTATGACTGCTGAGCACCCTATGTTATAAAAAGGAGGAGAAAATTACTCCTCTCTCTGAAGCACTAATGGTGCAAACACATAAACACAAATCACCATTTTACAAAATTAATGAATAAAATAAATATGTATAAACATATGTGTACAAATACATATTTGTTTGTTTAAGTCAATCCTTGCTTCTCAGTATGCTACATTTTGAATGGGATGCAGAACTAGTGGAAGGCATGATCAACTTTTGAGTATTTTAGAGTCGATTTGGTGAGAAAATACACCAAAATAATAGTGGAGAAGAGACTAGGAGATTTCTTAGGTTAGTTTGAGTACTGGTTGGTTGTGGTTGGAGATCAGGATTAGCTAAAGAGGAAAGCAAGGCACAATTCCCCTGGAGTGTCTGGGTCTTCTTGTTTCTGAGAAGGAGATCAGACTGTCTGTCAGTAACTGGAGTCACTGCTAAGACAGAGCAAAACCACACAGGATTTCCTTTCTTCACCTAAAAAGCAACAATGGTGGACAACAGTGGACTCATATTGGATTGAATTAGTGGACCTATGGACAGTGAACCCATAGAGCCCAAGAGAGGGTCATAGTACTTTGTGGGGAAATTATTAAAAATGGAGGCATCCCCTATGGTGTCCCACACGGGGCCTTCAGAGCCAGCTGGGTAAATGGCTCCTCCAGAGAGCTTCAGTCCCTTCACCGCCCGTGCCCTTCTTCTCACCACTCCATGGGGCTGAGTTCAGTTGGTGAAACCATAGTGTCTCTCTTCTAACCTTAATCATGCATCTGCCTAAATAGTGCACTATGGCTCACTTACAGTTCTGACACTCAGAATCCATTTTTATGCCGGAAGGGAAAAAACTCTATGATTAATGGAAATAAAATTGTAAAATAATTTTTTTCTCAATATACATGTAATACATGATTGTGGAAAAATTAAAAATAGTGAAAAGAAAAGTGGCACTTGGGAGTATTTTCTTCCATCTTCCCTCTCCGTCTGAGTAGTCTTGCTCTTACTTGGCATATCACCTAGTGAGTAAAAGTATGGGCTCCAGAGCTCTTTTGCCTGGAAACCCATCTCACCTCTGCCCATTGACCATGTGACTGGACAAATTACTTCAAGTCTGCGTCTATTTTCTCATCTGCAAAAGGAGATAATAGCAGTCTCTATCTGAGTTGTGAGAATTAAAGAGATAACGCATGTGGGGCACTGAGAATAGTGCCTGGCACATAGTAAGAGATCAGTAAAAGTTACTTATCATTAATATCATATCTTTACCAAGGAAAGACAGGAAGGAGCAGGAACAGCAACAATAGTGGCTTGTAATACTAAGTAGCCAAAGCCAGCTCACAAAGAGGATGAACCCACCCTTTCCAGTACCGGAGCCTCCTTTGATGTACTGGTTGTCACCTGGTGGAACACAGGTGGCAGTGGATTGGTACATGTTCAGTGTATTTTCGATGGCCATGACCACTTCAGTGGATGACAATAGGTCAGCAGAGCCCAAAAACTATCTGCACGCAGGTCGTCAACAAAATCGATTTTTATTTATCAGTTCAGATCATCCCCTTGGAAAATCATCTTTTGTTACATACTCAAACCCTTCCCAAAGGTGGACCTAGTTAGATTATGACTCACTCCACCGTTAATCATTGTGCACATTATTTGCATGTGGCTCTTCTCACTATGAATTCATCGTGCACCCGGGGCTGTAAGAGTGGCCCTCACCTTTCTATCTCATCCTCTACCCCATTTGTTTGTACACCACTTGTTCTTGAATCACCTCAGTTTGTGTCAAATGACTATAAAGTCTGAAAGTTTTTCCTTATTTTTTTTTGTTTGGCTTACAATGTCTTTATTGTTGAAAATTTGGGGTTCTACTTTTAACTACTATACATAATGCTGACCCTAAATTCCCTGATACAACACATTCAATCTCTACTAAAAAATTTATTTCCTTCTTCCAATAAGGCAGATTCACATCTCGATTCAATATTCTAACTGTATATGAGAGAGTTGGATTTGACATGAGTTGTTCTTGAGCCCAGGTGATGATAGAGGGATAAGGATTTATGCACGGAATGATCAGAATGATTGACACAGGAATAAAATCAAGGAACTGGTGAATGTTGTGAGCAGGAGCACTGTAAATAACCGCCGCCCAGGAGGGATGGTGAGTGGGTAGCATAATCAGAAGGCATGCGCTTTAAGGGAACAGAAGGTCTGTAGGGAGAAGGAGGGTACAGTGGTTCGTGAGTGATAAAGTGGAATAAAAATGACACTTAACCCAGCTCCAAGCTGAGAGGGACAAGGCATAGAAAGATCAGCTCAATTTCCACTTGAGTGGATTTCAGGGAACAGTGTCCACAGGTGAGAGCCAGATTCTTATTAGAGCAAAAGGTGAAAGGGATGTCTACAGAATATAAAGGGGCTTTTACTGGTGATTGGGCTTGAGTTCTCGAATGAATTAAGAAAGAGATCCAGAGGATTAGTCATAAAAGAGGGCAGACAGAGCCAGATGGAGATTAGAATCTGCCTACAATGAAGGAGGTCCAGCTTTTCTTGGAACTGAAAATAACAAGAATGAAGGGTGTGGAGGTTCATGCTGAACTGAGAGGCTGAAGTAGGTGTCTACATAGCAGCATATTTCTCTTGCTCTGAACATGCAGGCTCCTTCTTCATTTCTGGCACGGAGACCTTGAGGTCAGCAGAGGAAAAATCTAGAATAAATATGTGAATTGAAATATTTGTCACTTTGATGGGAGAAAATGTTTGTCAGTCATGTATGTATATATTTACAAAATATGATTTACATATATACACATATATGCATATATATTTACAAAATCAAACTGTATATAGTTTTCTATTTTCCACTTCATATCATAAATATGCCACTAATTATTCTTCTCACCTATGATTTTTGAATGGCTATATATGAATGGCTATATATGGATGTAGAGTAATTTATTTAACCATCCCCTTATTGTTAAGTTGTTCCATAAACATAAAATATATAAAATTTACCTATGCAATATGTCACTGAAAATACATTTAGAAATGGAGCTATGGACACGGGGAAGATGCCAGTATTTATGTTAGATTTAAGACTCTTTAGAGACAAAAAATTGAAATGAGATCCACAGAAGTCAAACTCAGAATGGTTAGAGGTTGGTCAGTTCCTTGACCCTTTTTTGGAGCCAGATTTACCTTTAGGTCCAAGGATAATCATCTGAGAGAAAATGAATCCCAAATTCTGCAGACGGGTCAGGGTCATAAGTCAGCGGAGACACTATGAATCAGCAACATTTGGAGGTCAGAGCTCCTGACTGTGTAAGTTCTGTGAGAGTCTGGGGAACGCACAGAAATTATATATGGAGGACGCCGTTGCCTTATATGCCCCAATTCTATCTCTGGGGGTCACAGGGTTTTACTGTGTGCCATGTCATTGGGCCCAGAAAGGAATACATCACTGACGGTTTTGAGAAGTATTAACTCTTGAGGATATTGGAATACAATTTAATGCTTGGAAAAAAATTAGAGGCATGTGTGCCATTAAGCTCTTTATGAAAATTTGTCGTCAAGTCTCAACTCGCCAATCTTTTCTCTAGGCTGTTTAAGGACAGGATTACTTATCCAGGCATTAATATCATTGGATTTGGCGGAATTAGTGAACATCAATTCCCTAAATTCAATCTGGGTTAGACTTGCACACCCTATATGTGAGGGTTTAATTACTGAAATTGCAGGACGTGTCTCACTTTCACATGTTACCAGTAAGCAGTTGTTCTCAACCAGGGGTAATTTTATCTCTCTTCTCTCCAAAGAACATTCGGCAATGACTGGAGACATTTTTAGTTGTCACACTGAAGGAGGGTGCTACTGGCACCTAGCACATAGAAGCCAGGGATGCTGACGAACATACCACAATACACAGGACAATCCCCACAACAAAGTCTCCAGCCCAAAGTGTTGATAGTGCTGAGGCTGAGAAACCACGTGATAATCAGTCCCATGTATCAGCTAGTGCGTTAGCAGATTCTAAAGTCATTTAACTCATGACATATTTTAAATAATCTTAAGTATTCTCAATAGGTATTGGAATGTCATTTTCTTCCTCTAAGACTTTTTGCACATTATAAAGTATATATTGTGCTTTTATATGTAATGGATTCCTTATTCTTTGTTAAGATTTGTATGTAAAACGTAGGAAGTGAGTTTACCTCTCCTGAACACCCCATATATGTGACATATTTTCCTACCTGCATAACCTATTCCACAGATTAAGAGAGGAAAGGCATTCTTCCTTCAGAATTTCAAAAACATAGACTTTTATTTTTTCTTCCTTGAGACAGCGACCATGTCTACCACAGAGGCTTCGGTGTGACTCAAAGAACAGCAGTCAGATTCACAGCTGGAAGCAAAATCCTTTACTTGGAGAAGTTTTCCCTAATAAATTTTGCTAGGTCCTTGCCAGGGCAGAAAATTGTTAAAGTAGCAGAAACAGCTTGCCCCGGCTGGTGGGGGAGAAAGAGACCATAAATTAACTCTACTTCTCAGTCCTGCCTCTTTCCTCCTCTTGTTTTAGTTCTGCCTCCCATCTCCTGGTTCTCTTAATGCCCAACTGGACTGGAAAGTAATGACGAGACTTGGTCAGAAACTATCAGGATAAAATTCAGCCTCTTTCTGGACATCCTACAAAGCTTTTTATTCTGTGGCATCTGCCTGCCTCTCTCACTTCTTGTCTGCACTGGGCTCCAGCACAACCCCTAAAGCAGTGATTTCCAAACTTGAGTGGGCATTGTACTCAAAATGGATGGTAAGGATTCTGCACCCAATTCCAACACGGGGGGAGGGGTTTCCCCATAACACCGAGCAATTCTTGGGAACCAGCTGGGTGTCCTACAATTCAAATCAATTCTGACACTATCTACCCTGAGACAGCATCAGATTCCACAGGTTAAGGGCTCAGTCCCACAAGACTACCCTCCACTTCAGATGCCAACCCCAAGACCACCTTGTTACTGTACTTCTGACCGACTGGCTATAAATCAGAGGCTCCCACAACTTCCATCTTGGATTTGATTAATTTGCTAGAGCAGCTCACAGAGCTCAGAAAATCTGTTTATTCAGCAGACTACTGGTTTATTACAAAGGATATTAAAGGACACGACTCAACAGCCAGATGAAGAGATACATAGGGTGAGGTCATGAACAAAGAAGCCTCTGTCCTTGTGGAGCTTGGGGCTCGGCACAGTGGCACGTGGCAGCATTCTGGTTCCACAGCCTGGAAGCTCTCTTAACCCTATCCTTTTGGGGTTTTATGGAGGCTTCATTACATAGACATGATTGATTAAATCATTAGCCATTGGTGACAGGTTCAATATCCAGCCCCCTCTCCACTCCCCAGAGACCAGGGGGTGGCACTGAAAGTTCCAACTATGTATTCAAGGTTAGTTCCCCTGGCAACCAGCGCCCATCTTTAGGTGCTTTCCAAAAGTCACCTCATTAACACAAACATAGCTGTGGTGGAGACGGCGTATAAAGAGCCAGACATCCATTTCAATTTTTTGGCGCTGAAGCAGTTTCTGGAACTGAGGATAGAAGGCCAAATATTATAACAAAAGATGCTCTCATTGCTCTTATTGCTCAGGAAATTCCTAGAGTTTTGGAAGCTGTGAGCCAGGAACTGTGGACAAAGACCAAATTATTTTTGAGAAATATATATTTGAGAAATATATTTTGATCATCTGAACGACTAAATATATATTTGTAGTAAATCACAATATTGCAGATGTGCATTAATATAAAATTCCAGGGACACCTCACAGATGGTCTGACTCTAGCATAGAGCCTGGGGAATCCTTAACAAATTCCCTGGGTAATTCTGGTATAACTCCACTGGGATTTGTAATCTGTCGCTTAAATACTACAGACATTTCCATTAGTCCTCTCCTTAGCTCAGACTCCTTCCTCTGCCTAGATTGTGCTTTTAACTTCCTTTGGGGAGCCTTTCCTGAAATTCCCAGGCGGATTTATCCATCTCCACCTCTGTGTCCCCACAGCACTTTTCTTACACGTCTATTGTTAAAGCAAATATAAGCATGCATAGCGATTCATTGTGCTACATTCTTTTCCTGGATAGATTGTGAGCAGCTTAAGGAATAAATACTTCTTAAGAGGATCAATGGCAAGAATACAATTTGCACCAAATTTGCCTATTACTCATCTCAAGCACCACACTGAAATCCTGGAGGTTAGAGCTTCTGGATACAGAAAAATTTGAGGAAATATCTTAAGAGTAAATTTAACCTTTAGTCATTTATAAATCTCTTCGGTTTTAATTTCTTTCACAAAAATGGAAGTCACCATTAGCATTAGAATTAACAGAAAGATTTAAATACATGAATAATAAATATTAAATAATAAATAATAAAAAGGTATGTAAAGTGATACCAATTAATGCACACATGCACACATACATATGATTGGAAAGAAATATGCTGAATATATTAAAATTTCACAGTGAGATTTGATAAAGTTAATTTGCATATTGGGACCCACAAAATGGAGGCTGCCCCAGTGGCCTGGCTCATGTTACCAATCGAAACCTGTCAGTCTGCACTTTTGGGAAACCTCTATCAAGGAAACCTAGCGCACAGCCAGCACAATCCTCCAACTCAGCTGCAGCTGGCTTTCCTCACGGAGAAAACGGCCCCTGCTGCCTTGGGGGTGAAGCCCTGACTGCCGCGCCCAGCACGCCCAAGCCTGCGCCGCCGCTTCCAACCTCCGTGAGAGGGGCTCCTTCGCAGACCCTCCTGGAAGGGCGCCTGTGAGCACTGCGCGCCCCAGTGCTGATGGTTTCTCTTGAATGAAGGACATCAAACTCACTACGAAACTGTTGTAGTTTTGTCTTTTACACATTAATTAAATTTAAGATATTTATATATTGTAATGACAATATAAATGAAAAATGAGAGGCTTAATTCTCCCTGTTGAAAATGGGGGGAGAGATTTCCCTCTTCTCCCTTTTCTTAAAGCATTTACCTTAGAAAACATGTAATACTAAGTACTTTCTCATCTCTTTGAAATGTGTGTAAATCCTCTTGAAGACCAGAAAGGCCCTTTGTCAGCAAGACCCAGAAATGCATTTCTCGGGAACCTGGGAGCATCTCTCTGAAACGCAGACATCGAGGGAGCGCACCCAACCGTCCAGTTTCTCTGGGAGAGTGGGAGGCTGACTGCGGCGGGTGCCTTGCTCCAAGACGCAAAACTACCTCGCAGCGTAAAGAGATGAGGAGTTTGTTTTTCCTCTGGTTAAACCTAATTAGGTAACACAGATGCCACCTCCATTACCAGGTAAAGTTCGGACAACTGTATGTGACAAATGGAGTTATCAAGTCCTCTTACTCGAGGACTAGTTATTGCTTATCTAGAAAACTGGGTTGTATGTGCTCTGCTACGTAAAAGAGTGAGATTTCTGTCTCTAGTCTCTTAGTGGATTGTCTGTGATGAGCATCACATTTGGGTTTAATGCTTATTCAGTAATAAAAGTTTTTTCTTTCTCTGCTACCTTCCCGGAGAGGATTTCTGGCTTGGGAAGAGATTCTGTTTTTAATTATATTTGCCCCAAAATATTTTTATTTAATTTGCACATGTTCTATAATGAACTGTTTATTTAAATGTAAATTATAAATTTCCTTAGAATGTTTTTATGCTG